TTTAAAGATAAACAAGAGGGCCATGACGGCCCTGAGGTCGCTCACCTGTATATAGGCCCCCGGAGCAGGGCCAGTTTAAACCCCAGGGCTTTTATTTTAACAAACTTGGAAGACACCCATTAGAAGATGTTTCATGTTAAGTTTTTACTACACACATATGATGAAAAACAATGATCTTCTCCCCCCCCCCCCGGCCGGGCCAATTTTAACACAAGGGCTTTATTTTGAACAAACTTGGTAGACATCCATAAGAAGATGTTTCATGCTAAACATCTAAGCTCTAGCTCATTGGGTTTTTTCAAAGAAGATTTTGTAATTTTTTACTATACACATATAGTTAAAAACAATGACACCCCTGGGGCGGGGCCAATTTTGACCCCAGGGCTTTTATTTGAACAAACTTTGTAGACACTCACTAGAAGATGTTTCATGCTTAATATCTAAACTCTAGCTATTTGGGTTTTTTCAAAGAAGATTTTTAAGTTTTTGCTATACACATATAAGGAAAATCTATGACCCCTGGGGCGGGACCAATTTTGACCCCAGGGCTTTTATTTGAACAAACTTTGTAGACACTCACTAGAAGATGTTTCATGCTTAATATCTAAACTCTAGCTATTTGGGTTTTTTCAAAGAAGATTTTTTCAGTTTTTGCTAAACACATATAAGGAAAATCAATGACCCCCGGTGCGGGGCCAATTTTGACCCTAGGGCTTTTATTTGAACAAACTTGGTAGACACCCATTAGAACATGTTTCATGCTAAATATCTTAGCTCTAGCTTTTTGAGTTCTTTAAAAGAAGAATTTTTAAGTTTTTACTATATGCATATAGGGAAAATCAAAGACCCCCTCGGGCGGGGCCAATTTTGACCCCAGGGCTTTTATTTGAACAAACTTGGTAGACACTCACTAGAAGATGTTTCATGCTAAATATCTTAGCTCTAGCTCTTTGGGTTCTTTAAAAGAAGAATTTTTTAGTTTTTACTATATGCATATAGGGAAAATCAATTACCCCCTGGGGCGGGGCCAATTTTGACCCCAGGGCTTTTATTTGAACAAACTTGGTAGACACTCACTAGAAGATGTTTCATGCCAAATATCTAAGCTCTGTCTCTTACGGTTTTTTAAAAGAAGACATTTAAAGTTTTTTTCTTTCGGTTGCCATGGCAACCAGAGTTCTGCATGGAATTAAATTCTTTGAACATTTTTTAAAGGTGACCACTCAAGGAACATTCCTGTGAAGTTTGGATGAAATTGGCTTAGTGGTTTATGAGGAGATGTCATTTAAAGTAAAAGTTTACGGACGGACGACGGACGGACGGACGACGGACGGACACCGGACGAAAAGCAATCACAAAAGCTCACCCTGTCACTTTGTGACAGGTGAGCTAAAAATGCTTGCAATGTCCCGGACACGCTTCCGTAGTTTTATTTTTTGAGTTGACCTTCGCCAAACATATTGAAATTTAAAAACACACTGTCTTAGTTTTTACCATTACTGTACAGTTAAGATTTTTATAGTACTTTATCGTTGAATATGACACGAATTTTATGAATAAATCAACAAGCAGGTTACAGTGGACTTGGACGAATGAGACGGTGTGATACTCGAAGAAAACGGTGTGAAACAATTCAATATTAAAGGATTGTCAGTACCGCCAGACCTTCATAGATAATAAATATATAAATATTAACTTACCAATTCAATTGTTACGTCGAAAGTTCTTCAATTTGAATTATATATCGGATTTTGTTGACGAAAATTTCAAAATAAAACTTTACCGGAAATTATAAATATCACCGCCACGCGCACTTTTATATGACGTCATTCGGGTTATTTTGGTGTATGGTGGCCTAAACGGGCTATACAATTTATTGCTAAATTTACAAATTTTAAACCAAAATTGTGTAAAAATGCCTGCTGCAAAATTATGCAACTTTTGTATAAACTTATATTACCTTATCCTCTATCGTGTAGTATAGTTTTAAAAACTTTTGCAATTTGTTCTACCCTAAAAGTTACACTGACTGGACTAAAAATGCACCCACAGTACAAGCTGTATACTTAAGGACAGTGAAAACGCACGGTTGTGATAATTGCATTTTAACAAGGAAAATATATTTCTTTTAAATATTTTTTCGCAGTTTCATAAAACCGAATGCATTCTGGTCTTTTAGATACCAACGTTATGGAAAATGATTGCATTTTAATGAAATTATTGCATAATAAAGACAGTACCCGGAGAATCAAAAGTAACACTTTTGGCTAATTATGATAAGATCACAACAGAAAAACAGATTGAACAAATTCATGGTTACTTTTTGAAATGAAATTATTCATTTTTAAACTGTTAATTATGAACTTGTTTTGCACACCTTTCAAGAAATGTAATACACAAACGAGCAATTAAAATCGTTATGAAAATTAATTTTAAACTATGCTAATGTTCAGTTTTAGAAATCGTAAAAGCTCACATGGAAATTGCATATTCTCACTTTTCCTCTATAAAAGGTGATAAATTTCAAACACTACTGAAGACTTGCTAGCAAATTATATGCAATGGTTCTACAAAGAAACCATTACCGCTGGGTTTATTTAGGACAGATTCAGTCTGGTCTATCTTACAAACAAAGCGCCAACCGTTTTGGTGTCCTTCGGTCTACAATTGATCGGCTTCACCAGCGTTTTTGCACTACAGGCCGAATGGCGTCAGAATCCACAGGTGACTATCCGCACCGTAAGATCTATGAGGCGACGATGTACATCTGTAAGAGACGCTGATGGAGGACATTGTCGTTTCTCAAGATCCCGACGGTGACATTACGAATAGACATTAATGAGTGAATTTGTATTGGATTTTCATTTTGGTTTTTGCCATTACTCTGATGAAAAAGTGTGATTTTGGGATTTTCACCTTAGGTTCTTCGATTTACTGTTGTTCATTTGATTTCAAACATTTTAAATTATTTTCAGTTGTTAAATGTGTGTTTTGTTTTAAAGTAATGATATATATCTAATTGAGTCGTTAGTGTTTTGTTTTCATGTAATAAAATACATATAGTGCGGGCGTGCGTTTTCATTGTCCTTAAGTATAAAATAATGTATGTCCAATAATTATATCCCACTGAAATGAAATCTCGGAACATGTCTTCAATTTTAGAATAAAGCATTAGTTTTTATCACATTCTTAATCATTGCAATGGATTCACCTTCATGTGAATATGTGTATTTGATGCTGAGAAATATACAATATATGTGTTAAAAATGTGCAAAATCTAAGTCATTCTTTTATTGACAACATATCATATGCGATTATTAACCAATCCCAGCTCATGCATATACAATAAAATAATTTTGTTAATGCTTTTTAGATTTTGATACATTCCTAAATGTTGATAACTTCAAGACATGTTGGTTAAAACAAATAATAAAGCCAAAGGTAGACAAAACTTGAGGCTGAAGACCAGTCAAATAGTATTAATGGCGTCTGATTGGTTGATTTAAATCTCAGATTTGAATCTGACCAATCAGAATGTTTTAATTGTAGACTGGTCTACAGAATCATGTTTGATGACCTTTGGCTACAGGTTAGATGTAAGGATGGGTGATTAATGTTACCACTTGACAACACACACGAAAGGAAACATGCATACAATACCTGATTTCTTTCAAACATATTAGAATTAGAATCCTTTGTAGAGGGAAAGAAATAAAATAAGTGTTATGTCAGGGACAAAGGTCATAGGGTAAATTATAAGTAGCAATAACACAAGACAATTCTAAAACAAAAATCAACTTGAAAGGGTAAAAATTGAGGGTAAGCTAACACTTAATAAATAAAAAAATTTTTTTTGCTACATACAGTAGTATTAGAATAAGGAACAATTATTTATTTTATCATTAACCATTGCATGAAAAATAAAAATCAACTTGAAAAGCAGTACCATGCCTTAGTATTTAACTGCTGCAGCCAAAATTTCTCATTAAGAAAAGGTATAATTTCTATTCTACTTAAAGCACACATAGCTTTGCCTTTTTTTGCAAAAAGTATATATGAGTATATATAACCCAGATATTACATATTCTGCACCCAGTAAAACACTGTATTGTACATGGCAATGAACAAAAACTGAAGCTCTTGAAATCTTAAGCCAACATTTTAATATACATGCACATTGATATACAATCATGTATTTCATTGCTTGAAAGTTGAAATAAAAGTGATCTGAATTTTTCTGAGTCTATAATATATAAGATTAAAACTTTTTGGTTAAGAATTGTAATAAATCAGTCAATATTAATTTATTAATCCACATTTCAGATGGATGTTTTGACTGTGTTTCATGTCACATCAACAATGTTAAGGTCAAATGACAATTGCAAAGATTTCCTTTCTGGAGATAACAGCATCAAGTGCCCTTCCATGCATAGAATCAGGCACAAATGGTTACCCAAGTAGAACCATTAACCTTCAAAAAACTAGGCAGGTAGCATCCTCACAAGAAAGAATCCAAACTCTCTGGCAGGATTTGAACCCACAGGTGACAGGCTACAAACGTATTATAAGTTAGCAACCCAATAACCATTCTGCTACAGAGGCTGGCTTAGATAAAACCATGGCGATTGCAAATATCTAAATAAAGCTCAATATTAACCTCTAGGCAGAGAGATTAAGGTCATAAACTTTGACCTCTTTAAGGTCAAACTGTCATTGTAGGTATGCATATGACCTTTAAAATTTCTGACACTAAAACAGTTAATACCATTGATATCACATCAAAGAATCGTTTGGTTATAATTTCGATTTTTTATATTCCAAATTAATAACATATATACATAAAACATACACTAAACACACATGAATAAAAATTGTCAAAATAGAATTCCCATGAATTTTCAACATCAAAAATTAATTAATCAACCTCAACTCAAATTGAACCACATTATCAAAATCCACAAAAATACCAAATGGAAAGAGTGAAAAGATTTTATTTTTACCTGTTTGCGCTCAAACTTATTGGTATTTGTTGAAGAGTCCTTGAGCTGCCTTTCACCAGTGTCTCCTACATCGCCATAAAGGTTAATAAATACGTTGGCATCTGTTCCAGCTCCAAATTCATCTCCAGTAAAAACACGTACAGTATAATTGACCTCTGCAAATAAATATATAATAAAATCTTTATTTTACCTAAATTGTACTTTGAATAAATGAAAAATGAATTTAATTCTTGTCCATACATTACATACAATTTAACATGGGACATTACAACAAGTTGTTTCCTCACAACAGTGAAATTAACAGAAAAGGAATAAAAACAGTAATTTGGATAAACGACTTGCAATAAAATGGTGGCTCAAGAAGGCAAAGTTATTAGAATCTATAATAATATGTTTACATCATTTAAATGAATAATTTATTATAACTTTGCATTTTGTTTTTTAAGAAAAATATTTTCACATTATAACATTTTTATTATTAGAATCTATATTCCATCTGATTTTAAGCAAATAAATGTACCTTCAAGACCACCCTTGATTGGACGCCCTTTTTCATCAGTTGGTATAAGCTCTCTAACAATCTGTTTATCATCTTCGCTGCGAGCAAACCATCGATCAACAAGGAACCAATAATCTTCTGTTTCGGTACCGTCATATTCATCAGACTCCTCCTCAACCTGTAATACATATGACATACTTTACATCACAGTCATAGTCGAAACATAGTCAGCTTAATACAGCATGGGCATCAAGCATACAAGTTTTACCAAATTTATTAACGAAAATCATGTAATTAAAGTAATCCACCTACCGTCTTCAGATTCTTTTTCGGAAGTTTTGGGGATTTCGTCCTACGACGTCTCGACTGAGATACACTGCTGATGTCAGAATCGTCTGAATCTGAGAAGTCACCCATGCGTGACATAAGAGGTGAACGCCTATCTCGGTCCCTGTCACGGGCAGATGAGATTGAACGTCTGCGTTTCTTCTTTGTGCCCTTACGTGGCTTTCTTTGAATGAGCATCTGACAAAGAAAATTGAGTATGAAATATAACTATTATAATACTCAATATAACTATTTTAATTAAATTCTTTCAATATTCATCTGTACATTGTCTTTTAACGTCTATTAATTTTTATTAAACAGTAATTATGTTTTGTGTAATTTCTTGTTTTAAACAAAGACCTATAAATAAGCAAAATATAGAACCAAAACATGGCTTTTACTATGCAGTTTCCTTTAATAAAATATTCTGTAACACCCTATCTCTATCTCTGCCCTCTCCCCTCCCCCATTCAAATAAAACTCCTCCAGTTTACTTTTTCAAAAGCAGGAAATAATATCTTACTTTATCCATGTACCAGCCTGAAAATGTTCCCGTACCACCATGACCAATTCGCACCTTCTGAATCCTACCAACATCAGCAGCCTCAATCTGTAAAAATAACAAATGTTCCATACATAATATAGCTCTACCACTTGAACCACTGTTTAATAACAATTATTCTCTCATGAATGCCTACTTTATGTACACTGAAAAAAACGTAATGCATTACTTTATGTACACTGAAAACGATGCATAACTTTATTTTGCACTGAAAACGGAATGCATAACTTTATGTACACTGAAAACGGAATGCATTATTTTATGTACACTGAAAACGTAATGCATTACTTTACAAAATATTATGACTTAAATTAGTGTATTTATTATCAAAATGTTTTTTTTCCTGAACAAATCCACAAAACGGCATCTAAAATCTATCTTCACCAGTAAAACTCAAAAGTTCAGCAACAATTTTTATGGAGTTGGTCGACTAAAAATCCACTATCTTATTCCCACACTGAAAAAAAACCCATAAAAAATGCTGGATAAATAATGATCAACTTACCTTAAATTTATCACACATTCCTTTTTCAAAGTTATCAGTTTTGTTTCGCAGATTATATGATTCAGTTTTGCCCTCGGTACCATATATCTGTAGGAAAACATTCGCATCGGTTCCTGCTCCAGATTTATTACCTGTCCATAGGGTAACTTCATATGGAATAGCTAAAATCATAAATAAAATGTAAACCATTTACCAAACTGATTTATTTCGGTTGCTATTTCAGTTTTAAAGATACTGATTTTTATGTTTATATTTCACATTTATTAAATTACACACAGAATTATCATACAAACACAAATTATACTCACTTTTTTCCATATCCTCTTTATATGAAGCATCCATTTCAACTTTCAGCAATCCGTCTGCTTCGTCCTTGGCAAGCCATCTGTGACAAGCAAAAACATACTGTTCCCCACGAGAGGGAACCAGTATCTTCACCATATCCAGGAACCAGCCATCATTTAGACTGGTACCATCATGTCCAACCTTTATACGTTTTATCTGTAACATAATGGTACATGTACTTGTATTCAAAATGATTCGAACAAGCAAATAGACAGCATTCAACAACAAACATATATCCCAAGATTTGTCAAGTTTTGTACAAAAAAGTATCATATTTTAAAACTAGACTATGAGCAAGAAAATTACTCAGAATTATCCTATTTCAAAAATAAAGCATATAGAAGTGCATGGCATACACAATGAATAAATATAGGAAATCAAAATTTATACAATAAATTCTCCACTTGTCAAATATTTTTGGCCTGAATTATCAACAAGATGAAATATTTCATACTTGTATCTTTGGCATCTATTTTAAAACAATGCAAAAATTCATAATTATCTGCCTCTTTCAGAAAGTTTACTCAATGATGCATCACATACCTGTCCGATATCTGTGGCTCTTATTTTAAACACATCAGTTTTTCCACGCTCAAACTTGTTCTTAAAGCTTGCTGACTGTCTCAACATAAGCTGACCTGTGTCGCCCTTCGCTCCATAGATTATCAGATAGACATTGGCATCGGTACCGGCGCCGGCAACATCTCCCGTTTTAACGTGAATATGATATGAGGTAGCTTTATGAAATATTTAGATAAAAAGTATAAATATGCTGTTTTAGCTTGCCTCAAAATTCATGATTATTTTCATGAAAAGTTAGAAATTGTTTTATTCTGTGAAAAAAAGACAAAAAGAGCAATTACACAGGTTCAGCCTAAGTCACTTAATATCCAATATAATGAATATAAACACATATCTAAATCATTAAATTATGAAAAAGAAGGTCTCTGTAAGAAAGAGGGTAAAATTATGGTGAAAACTTATTTCATATCTATTAACCTTTAACCTTGTGTGAATTTATGTACATGTAATAAATTTACCATTTGAATTAAAAACCTTTTACCATCAATTTAATGTTGAAGGTATTTCATTAACAAAATACACAAATTAAGTTGCCAACAATATAGAGCCTGGTCTGCTGGCATGGCTCTTTAATGGTGGCACTTTTGGTTTCAACAGTTAAGGTTAATTGGTTATTACATTTCTATTTTCAAATGAACATTTTTGTATGCAATGTTAAACACAATATTAAACCTTGTTGTTTCTTTTTTTTTAAGATTGATACGTAGTTTTGCTGAAAATTAATTGTACTACAGCCATGCCCATGCAAAGTTTAGTCATGCATTACATACAGATTTGAACCGCGGGAATAAAGGTGGTACAATGAATGGCTGAACTCCACTAAAAAATTTCTGGATGCAAAATCATTTAACATAGAAATACAGGTTAAGTACAACTAATATTCTATTCTACAGCTTTAACAAAAATTGAAAACATAAGACCTTTAACCTGCTGGGATTAAAAGCAATCCGCCTGTGCCACCAATGTAGAGCCCGGTCAGCCGAAACACAAGTGATGTCACGCCAGGCTCCATACTCCAGGAAGCTAAATTTTTTTAATGGACTGGTCGAAATTTAAAGCACTGGGATAATCTATTACACATTTAATTAGCAGGTTATGGGTTAGGTGTCTATATCGTCACATGATAAGCAATTACTGCCCAAGGTTTAACCAAAAAGTAAGAATTTTGAGAACCATTCAAAAACTCAAGCATCTGATTGGCTCATTTTAATTACATATTTGAAAATAGCCAATAGAATAGTTTCAGTTGAAGACTGGCTCTTGATTTTTGTCTTATTTATAACCTTAATGGTAGTTCAATTATACTTCACAATAATTCCAGAATTTATCATGGATAAAATGGCAAATACATGAGTAAAAGACATTTTGTTTTGTACAAAAGTTCCACTAAATATGCTTGTATCAGCCAGGTATAACACAATGAGACAAAAAGACTTGTGCTTACAGACTGTGTAAGCCAATAACTGCATGAATTATATACTTTTATCAAATTTCGCACCTTGGTAAAAAAGCTCATTACAGCCTAACCAAATTAATGTTTCAAAAAGAGGAATAGCTTTTGTTGGTTCATTTTTAAAATTAGTGGAAGTAATGGAAGGAAGACATCTATTTATTAACATATAACTTTGCGTACAGGTCCTTAAAAAGGGGGTTTAAATGGCACAGTATCTTCTATCTACTCACAATCAAGCAAGCTTTGCAAAATTGAATTTAATTTTTTTTTTTTGCTTAGACTTGTTCTTTAGAATCCATAATGGTTTTAGTAGAATTGTTACCTTGTGGTCTAAAAGCCTTTATGTCTCACCAAAGGTATTTTGATGTATGTAAGACCTGTACACCTTTGGTGCAGATTAAATCTGATGGTCTATAAACCAATTGTCATCTGCACAGATCAAATTTGATGGCCTATAAACCAAATGGCAATCTGCACAGTTAAAAATTGATAGCTATCTGCACAGATCAAATTTGATGATCTATAAACCAAATTGCCATCTGCACTATAAACCAAATTGCCATCTGCACAGATCAAATTTGATGTTCTATAAATCTAATTGCCTTCTACCTCCAAATATCAAACTTAATGGTTTTAAGACCCTTAAGCCCGTACAGGCTTTAATATGATGGTGAACAAAATTAACTTAATATTGATGTATTTAAGCATGTTTTAGAAATAAAAATTCAGCCTTGCTTTAAGCATATAAAACAAGATGACATGCATCTTTAAAATACACTTACAATTACCTGTTGTCAGGGAAACAAAACAAAATAGTTTATGATTTTATGGAAAAAACAAGAACACTGATTCTGGGGTCAAGTAAACCCTGTCACATAAATACATAGAATAGTTATATTTATATAGATAACAAGGCCTGTCATAGGACATCATGCTTAAAAATGTTCAAGTGCTTGAGAAAAAGCAAGGGCACATTTTTAAGGCTGCAAAGAGGAGATTATCCAGTTAATATCCATGCTAAAAGTAACTGGATACTGATCGGCAGCAAACAATCATGACCCCTAAACAAATGTATAGTTTCAAGTGAATACTTTCAATAATTGCAGATCTTAGTTTTTTACTTAAAATGTTCAAAACAAGAATCTTTTTGGTTTATACAGAATTTATCTTAGTTCCATTGTGAAGGAATCTATAAGCTTAAAGACACACTTTTGAATCCTTTCCTGAACCCAACCAGTACTGAGCAATAAGTGTAAAGTTTCTTGCTCAAGGAAACGACTTGCCCCTGATGGGGTTTAAACCCATACGGCTAGTGATAATTAGATAAGGTCAATGTCATAGGACAGCCATTGTCAATTCGAGTTTGATATACATGAAGGCTTTACCCTAAAGAATATTCTTTAAAATATGAAGTGAATCCATTCAATAATAACAATTATAGCCAGTTACAGCAAAAGAAAATAAAATTTCAATAATTAACCCTTCAAGGTCAAGGTCATTTCTGAGTGAAGGTCAAGGTCTATCTGATTAACTTGAAGGTCTATCCTAAACAATTATTATGTCTGAGGAAAATTCATTAAAAAAAACAAAGTTTCAGCCACTTATAGCCATAATGACCTATTTACCACTCGACAAAACCACCTCTTTATATCATCAAAGATATGTTTTATCAGACTTGATTTGCTAAGAATCATCTAGATTAAAAAAAATGCAAGATGAAATGATTGTCAGTTGTTTTTAATAATCTTTTTTACATGACTGTTTTTTTTTATTCCTTGAATCATGGCTTTAATTAATTAATTTAAATTGTAATGGACTCTTAAATATAAAAAAGATTCATTGATGGAAAAAATCCTTGTTGAATAATGAAAACTTGATGACATAAATTTAAAAATACACCAACAAACAATTTTGACATGAACTACATAAATAACTGAGGTATATCAAGTAAAAAAATATGAGTTGTTTCCCTTATCTTCAAGTAAAATCAATAGCTCTTATGCTAAAACAACACAAATTAAGCCCCTTTTAAACTGCTAGTTTGTTGTGATTAAATGTCTTTTAAAAATTATTAATGGAAAGCTTTAGATCTTAGCTTTGTCGCAGTATATACTGAGTTCAACACATCTTTTGACACCAAAGTATTTAAATTAACTGTTAAACATACCATTTGTCAGACCATTTTACATACAATTTATACAATGAGATACGCAACCGGTTATTTTTACTCCAAAAACTACTCATGATAATAGCCTGTAGTCTGCCTAAGTCGGACCGAAAGTCTTTATCAGTGTATTCATATCATCATAAAGCTGACATAAAAAGCATTGGAAAGTCAATGAAATTTGAGCACCAGTATCAACCTCAGATTTCAATTGTTTTTTAAGATGTACAATGCTGACCAAATCTTCAAAAAATAGTATCTGCTGATTTTATAAATACTTGCATCTCTAAACTAACCATACCCCCGCCCAGTCAAAATATATTGACATTCCAAAGCTTGATTCTGAGATATATTTGTTCTGGGACAGAATTTTGCTTTTATAGGCGAGTTATTGCCCAGACACGAAAATAGCAAAATATCTTGTGCAGTACAATTAGTTGGACTCACCTCCGCTCTGCCCTCTTCCACATGCCAACCCTGGGCTATGGCGGTCGTACGACAGGGCGGACCATACAAGGACGGACCGTATGTTTGGACAGGATGGACCATATTTTGGGACAGCAGGGTGGACTGTGACTCGAGACCAGGCGGACCGTGCTTAATTTCAAATTTTATATTGCTATTTCATTTATTTTTTATATCAATGTCGTCATAAAAACGTCATACATTTAAGCATTTTCATATTGAATAGATTATTATTAACATTTAGCCATGCAATTATAAGTATAAAATAGGTAGCATAACATAGTTGGAATTAATTGGAAAAAAAATCTCATGTGTAAAACATATTGTCCTTTTGCGCTGATATTATGAAACTTGACAGAATTATCTTAATTGTAATTTCTTTATATACAATAATTCTAATCATTTAAGCTGTACAGAGGAATAATGATGATTTATATTAGTTAAGTTGTTACTATAGGAAAATCAAGAAATGTAAACATGTATATCAATTCGCTAAACAGACAGCATCCATATTAAGACAAAGCACAAAAACAATTTCTGATATAAATTAACTCTATTAAAAATTTCATTTAACTAATTTTTTCTAAATTAATAAACTACATTAATATATGTATATAAAAATCTGGAAACAAAATGATCCCTCGGAAGCATTAATCACAACAAAATTACATAAGAATTGCAGACTCGGTTTGATTGAGACTGTACATGAGGGATACTGAAAGAGTGCAACATCCCACACGCCCCCTTAAGGACCGGCTTGAGCGGTAGGCCTACTCAATTCTCAACACTTAATAGTGCTGGAATTATATGTTTATAATGATGTTAAAAGAAAAAAAAGAAAAGGCAATAGTTAAATATTTTTATTACATGAAATCACGGTCCGCCTCATCTGCCCTGTCCCAAAATATGGTTCACCCCGTCCAAACATATGGTCCGCCCCGTCTCACGGTCCGCCCTGTCCGTAATTCGCTATGGCCAACTTAGTCCAAATATTTAGACATAACCTCGGATTTGAAGCTATTTTTACATGAGTCAAATCCGCTTTAAATTCGCATTTTCCGATAAACGTCAAAATGTAAAAAAAAAGAAAATGCGATGTCTATATGAACTATAAGTTACACACTTCTAAAGGTGCTAATTTAGTAATTAATAAACCAGTGTTTATAATGCTTTATTCAAATTCTTTCACACTTCTAATTATTCTTATCTGTTATAAAAAAACATATTTTAATTAATCAATATTTTTAATCGTATTTAATTTTTGGATAACAAAAAAAAAATGAAATAATATATGCATGAAGTCGTATTGTAGTCGGTGTAAAAAGCTCATCAGAGCTTATGTTTATTGTTGATGTATCCGACTTATAAATAAAATTTACTTGACTTGACTTAATGAAGACTTATAGCTGATAATTCTTTCAGAACTCATTTATTTATGTCAAAAAAATCTTCTTTATAGCATGAATGTAATTGTTTGCAAGTATGTGTTATATTCAGTGGCGGATTCAGGCCCGGGCTTCAGGGCTGCAGCCCCCCCCCCCCAGCTCGGCCCAAAGATACGTTTACCAGCTGGGCTAGAATATATTTTTATAAGTTCCAAACTTTATTGGCTGTAGTGTATTCCCTTATCAAAATATTTATTGCTGTCATCCAGTTGTTAATCTCCTGCCTGGGGGCTTTGCAGAGATCTTTATCTATCAACATGCTTGAATGACTTCAATGTTTAAACTGCATAATTGATTGGTTTATAACTTTCCAAAGGTCTAATGAAATTAATATCACAGATAATGGCAAATAGGTGTGTTACATTGTACACTATATTTTACTATCTTAGTTTTTTCCATTTTCTTTGCGAAAGCCCTATAATTAAGAAATTGAAAATTATTATTTGTAAATTAAAAACATGGCAATTTTTTTGAAGATATTATTAAAGGAATCGTACTTTGATAACTAGATTTTTATCAAGATGAAATGATTGGTCATTTACTTTTAATAACTTTTTATGACAGTTAAATGTTTTAAATAAAATTTATAATATAGTGACCTCTGGATTCATTGAATATTACTGTTTTAACATATTTTATTTATCAATTTTTACAAGCATGTAACATTTTTACATCACAATATATATATATGGATTGGAAAACAAAAGATATTACTGTTTGAAATTATGTTTCTTGTACAATAGAAAGGCAGTATTTTAATACCACTTTAATTATTCATATCAGAAAATTGATCAAGTATTTGAAATTATTTTTATCAACGGTCGTGCATACATTGGTAATTAAGTGTGTTGTTTTTTTGTAAATGCATACTAAACACCAGAGGAATTCTATTTGAAAGACCTTGCAAACACTAACCTATACAAAATATAATGTGATGTTAAATCTAAAAGGTACAATAAACAGCACAAGAAAGTCAAAGAAATTACACCATTTACAACCTCATATTTCAAAATTTTCTCAGTCTATGGGAGGGGACATTCCTCCCAGACCCACCCCGATTACATTTTATAAGCTAAGTACATTGCCACTCTTAAAAATGAGCTAAAAAACACATAAATTACAATTTTTTGTCAACATGAAACAAGAAGCTGGTTCAAATCATTTAAACATGCACAGTTTCGCCTGTTGCGTTATTTATCACAAAATCTTTCACCCATATGTCAGCCCCCCCCCCCCAGGAAACCATGTTCTGTACCCGCCCCTGATATTATACTGAGTATATCATGAATGTAATTGTTTGCAAGTATGTGTTATATTATACATAGTTATCATGAATGTACTTGTTTGCAAGTATGTGTTATATTATACATAGTATAATCATGAAATGTACTTGTTTGCAATTATGTGTTATATCATACTGAGTATATCATGAATGTAATTGTTTTGCAAGTATGTGTTATATTATATATAATATTATAAACCCATAATGGTATTTATTTCATATATTTATCAAATTTTAGAAAAAGTGGAGGTTGAAAGACCAGGGTTTTGAGGGTGAAACGTGTAGGGTGAAACATCCAGGTGTATAATAACCCTGTTCTGTATCCTTGATGGCTGGCCAGAACTGCTCGCCACTTCCATTATTAACATCACTAGAGGCCTACCTTTAGCAATGACCTCCCTGGATGTCACCCTGTTTTTCGATTGCCTTTTTTTCATTGTTTCAAAATATCTACTTCCGTTTTCAATATTGAAAGCCAATCGGAATACCTCGGCTATTATCAGTAATTGGGCTGGTGTATTCCGCGGAAACCGCGGATAACCCGAAAAGATAAAACCGTTGATTGTGTACATGTATCTTATAATTTATAAAAGATCACAAAAATGTTAAAGCATAACCATTAATTACAGTTTTTATTGCCTGTTATTGAAATTAAAATATCATCCTTTCTTTAGATATTTTGCATTGATAATTATGATGTGTGCAAAGCGACCATTTAGAAATACGCCGGCATCACTTCGTATTCCATGCATGGATGACACTAACACAAAATAACCATATTTTCGGATTTTTTTGAAATTGTTATTGTCTGTTTAAAAAGAATTGACTAAAACTGATTACAACGCAGACGGCGGTGGATTCGATTGCAACGCAGTGCGGTGGGCCCGATACCATAATTAATGTTTGGTTTGAAGGTTTAATAATTAAAGTATCAAATTACCTAGCTGTACACAATTTTGGCACGGATTTTGGGCGGAATTTGCATGGAATTGGCACGGAATCAGTGATTTCTGAGCGGACCAGGGACGGAAACGCAAATTCCGTGTCATTCCGTCTCACAAGAAAAATATTTTGTTCACTTTTCTTGGTGAAAAACTAGAAAAAATCCGGCTGGAATTTAATTGGAGCAGAATTTATACTTTTAAAAACATTTCATCTTAGACAGAATTTTCAACTTTGAAATTTTCTTTGGAAGGAATGGTCTTCAATATGGGCGGAATTCTATACTTAAACATTTTTCTTGATATAAGATGTCTAAATCATAATTCTACTCTTGTTTTTTGCACTTGGAGACATTGAAATTTTACCTTCTGTACTTATTATTTTTATCTAAGTATGATATTTGACCATTAATTACAGGTGTATTTTTAGAATAAATAGGTTTATTTCTTTTAGACATTAAAGTAGGACTTCTTTTTAGATATTGTGGCAAATGATATATTGTCAGACTAATTTAGCAAATATTTTTTTGTACTGAAAAACAACTGTAATAAACTTAATGTAGAACTTGAAAACATTCAGTTTATAATATAAACAATTTTCATACAGCTTGTATATGTATACATGTACTGTATTATGAATTTAGGACATCATCTGAAAGCAATATTGAAATAAGAATGCTGTTAAAATTTAGATATACTATAGAATATAGGACAGCCATAAGACAATATCATAAGTGTGGTTGTCATTATAAATTCTAAGAATTCATGATTTTGTTATAAAGAAAATTTTAAAAAAAATAAACAAAAACAAAACAAAAACAGTGCACGAAATAATCTCATATATTATGCCCTTTTAATCTATATAAAATTGATCAATCAATATGCCCTATAATTGCTATTATTTAGGTAAATAAATACTTCAATGTATATCCACTGAGATTTTACACTACACTGATAAGAGCTCTGATAAAACTCAACTGGCCAGCAGTTTCCCACCATCTATGCATGACTAATTTACTCAACTGGTCATTCCAACAGATCAGTCTGTTCCATGTAATTATTTTGGGGAGAGATAACATTATAAATTTCAAATTCAGAATTTGTCTAGATTTGCAAATTTATTTTGTACAAAAATTTGTAATGATTTTTAAAATATATATATATATATATATCTATTTGTTACTTGATTCTTTTACTTTCAATGAATGAAAGTTAAGATGATGAGTAAATTAACCCTGTTTTACATATAATGATGGACCTATCCTGAGTTATACATTTGTGAATTTTGAATTCTAAGATATCTGGGTCAGCAAAAAGAATGCAAATTACAGAGGATGTACTTGATATGTTTAAACTGCATAATTGATTGGTTTATAACTTTCCAAAGGTCTAATGAAATTAATATCACAGATAATGGCAAATAGGTGTGTTACATTGTACACTATATTTTACTATCTTAGTTTCTTCCATTTTCTTTGCGAAAGCCCTATAATTAAGAAATTGAAAATTATTATTTGTAAATTAAAAACATGGCAATTTTTTTGAAGATATTATTAAAGGAATCGTACTTTAATAACTAGATTTTTATCAAGATGAAATGATTGGTCATTTACTTTTAATAACTTTTTATGACAGTTAAATGTTTTAAATAAAATTTAAAATATAGTGACCTCTGGATTCATTGAATATTACTCGTTTTAACATATTTTATTTATCAATTTTTACCAAGCATGTAACATTTTTACATCACAATATATATATATGGATTGGAAAACAAAAGATATTACTGTTTGAAAATTATGTTTCTTGTACAATAGAAAGGCAGTATTTTAATACCACTTTTTATTCATATCAGAAAATTGATCAAGTATTTGAAAATTATTTTTTTATCAACGGTCGTGCATACATTGTAATTAAGTGTGTTTTTTTTTTGTAAATGCATACTAAACACCAGAGGAAAATTCTATTTGAAAGACCCTTGCAAACACTAACCTATACAAAATATAATGTGATGTTAAATCTAAAAGGTACAATAAACAGCACAAGAAAGTCAAAGAAATTACACCATTTACAACCTCATATTTCAAAATTTTCTCAGTCTATGGGAGGGGACATTCCTCCCAGACCCACCCCGATTACATTTATAAGCTAAGTACATTGCCACTCTTAAAATGAGCTAAAAACACATAAATTACAATTTTTTGTCACATGAACAAGAAGCTGGTCAAATCATTAAACATGCACAGTTTTCGCCTGTTGCGTTATTTATCAAAATCTTTCACCCATATGTCAGCCCCCCCCCCCAGGAAACCATGTTCTGTACCCGCCCCTGATATTATACTGAGTATATCATGAATGTAATTGTTTGCAAGTATGTGTTATATTATACATAGTATATCATGAATGTACTTGTTTGCAATTATGTGTTATATTATACTGAGTATATCATGAATGTAATTGTTTGCAAGTATGTGTTATATTATATATAATATTATAACCCATAATGGTATTTATTTCATATATTTATCAAATTTAGAAAGTGGAGGTTGAAAGACCAGGGTTTTGAGGGTGAAACGTGTAGGGGTGAAACATCCAGGTGTATATAACCCTGTTCTGTATCCTTGATGGCTGGCCAGAACCTGCTCGCCACTTCCATTATTAACATCACTATAGGCCTACCTTTAGCAATGACCTCCCTGGATGTCACCCTGTTTTTCGATTGCCTTTTTTTCATTGTTTCAAAATATCTACTTTCGTTTTCAATATTGAAAGCCAATCGGAATACCTCGGCTATTATCAGTAATTGGGCTGGTGTATTCCGCGGAAACCGCGGATAACCCGAAAAGATAAAACCGTTGATTGTGTACATGTATCTTATAATTTATAAAAGATCAAAAAAAGTTAAAGCATAACCATTAATTACAGTTTTTATTGTCTATTATTGAAATTAAAATATCATCCTTTCTTTAGATATTTTGCATTGATAATTATGATGTGTGCAAAGCGACCATTTAGAATACCCCGGGAAATCATTCGTATTAGGGAAAATGGATGACAAAAACACAAAAAAAACCAATTTTGGGATTTTTTTGAAATTGTTTTTTGTCGGGTTAAAAAAAATTTTGGCCCAAAAATGATTAAAGGCAAAAGGGGTGGATTTGATGGGGGGCCCGATCCCATTTTCCCAATGTTTGGTTTAAAGGTTTAAAAGAAAAAAATTTAAATGTTTTTTTGGGATTCTTGTCTTTCCCTTGGTATTTTTCCCTGATAAACTAAAAATTTTGGGCAAGAAAATGCTTAAAATTATTAATTTCTTTAAATGAAATAAATGCAAGTAAAAATAAAATTAGTTTTTGGGTTTAAACGAAAATTTCAGACAAAGTTATTTATTTAAATTTAATATTAAAATTTTTCGGTACCCCTGGGTTCTTAATTTTCTGTACGAATATAAATTTGAATTTTTTACGTACTGTAATAGCAAGTCACAGTAACTAAATTACTAAGAAAATTTAAACTGTCATCTATGTTAAAACAAGGTTTCATTTCAAGTTATAGTTTGAAATATTTATTTCTATACTTGTGTTAGCTATTTTATAATACTGTTTAAATAGTAAGGTTCATGTTCGTCATTCTCATTCATATTCGGGTAACTTTTTGGTCACAGTCATTAATTTACAACCAAAAGATCAGAATTTATTTTCTTTCATTAAAATGCATATGATACAAGTAATTAATAGCATGTGTTGTTTGTAAAATGTTATATATGTATACCGACAATAAATAAATTTTGATTTGATTTGATATTACACGGTTATTAATTTGAAATCAGATGCCATTCTGTGGCTCTACCCCTGGCTGTTTTAGCTTTTGTATGAGATGCTGAATCCAGAGAAAATGTAAGTAAATGGATTATGGGAAGACTTCAATAGTTCTTTAAAGTCTTAAAACCCTGTCTGATAAGCTCATTAGGGAGAAAATTATGTCTATTGGTCATGGAGATTTAACATCTAAATACTAGTATATTTGGTTTGGTACATTCGGGTGGCGAGGGTAAAGAAATTAAACATGATATTAATACCAGAAATAATATGGAAATATAGTCTGTTAAAGGCCGTATATTTGTTAATTGTTTAAATTATGCAGCATCAACCAACTGTTCAAAATTGATTTCTTTACAGCTTGAAAAAACCACATAGAAACGGTTTCTATGATATTGGACAGTTGAGGCCGGGTACCAAATTTTCACTGTAGAGGATTATATATATATGTTTTTTGTGTGTTTTTTTATTATACAGCTCGTCGCCCTAATTCCAGAGTGTCGTAACTCCAATTTTGAAAAAAAATGAGTGTTTGGTATCAAAATGTTCGTAATTTTTTTCTCTATCTAATGGTAAGAACAACATCACTCTGGTTCTTGCCTGTAACAATATATTGAACGGGTCAGAATGCTGTATGTCCGTCCATAAATTGCGATAAAAATAACGTCCATAATGTCGTAACTTCTGAACCAATAGTATTTTAAGATTATTGTCACGTGT